CATCAATCTCTTGATTTATAAACGTCGTGGCTTAGAGCACCGACAGCTCTGACAATGTTTGTGTTTGTGTGGTAGAGCGAGCGGCGCAGCTCCAGCAGGCGGTCGAGGAGCTGCAGAAAGCTCTGGACATCACGCGGCAGGCCAGCGAGGGGGAACGGCACGCTTCCCAGCGTGAGGTGGAGGAGCGAGATCGACTGATTCAGAGTTTCAGCTCTGAAAACCAGAGACTGCACCAACTGCTGAAGGTTAGAGTCACAACAGAAAAGAGCTCTGTTTTTAGTCTTCATGTGACAAAGAAAAACTCAGAAATTTAACTTGATTAAAACATTATTTCATTTACCAGCCTAATAATAGGCTGAAAAACAGATTGAATCCAGTATTTCTTCACCCTCAAACAAGTTTATTGGGGTTTGGTTTGTGTCTTCTGGTCTGCAAGGATCAGGAGGTTGCTCTGGAGGAGTCAGAGACGAGGCTGGCCAAGGTGCAGACGGAGCGAGAGAAGGAGGCCGAGGTGAAAAGACGACGTGCCGACGAGCTAAAGCAGCTGATGGAGAAAGAGGAGAGGAGCCGCAGGGAGAAGGAGGTGAGGGGAGGCCAGACCCTGTTCCTGTTTTTAACACTGGGTGGGAAACGGGAGAAAGAACAGATGTGTGTCTTCTCTCTCCAGCTGCTGGAGCAGAGGGTGAAGTCTCTTCAGTCGAACATCGAGGCGGAGCGAGGTGCTCACCTGGAGACAAAGTTCAACTCTGAGATCGTCCAGGTAACAAACGCGCAGAGTCGGAGCTTTAACATATTCAATTAAAGTGCAGAGAAGTTTTCACTAACAGAGAAAACACATCAATAGTTTTTAAACGCCTTGGATCAGATAAAATCTCTGTGTGATCCACAACTCGAATCAAGGACCAGTTCTATTCAGAACCTGTGAAATTGTTATAAATGCAAACAAGGTGAACGCTTTGGTTTAAAACAACATCCCGGCTTCAAAGCAAGCACTTTGAGTCAAAGTTAGGCCCTTTGTAGTGCAATACGGTGTACATCAGTCAGCCATTTAACTTTGTTCCTTTTTCTGTGCAGGAAGTCCATAAAGTGTTAGATCATAGAAAATCTTCAGGACTGATTTAATAGATCCTTACTTTTTGACGCTGGCAGCGCATTTTGTGGCAGAGCCTCCCACAACAAAGGAGGCGACCCAGCAGTTGTAACTAATTATAGACCAATATCTGATCTATCTGTGCTAGCCAAAGTTCTTAACCTCCTAAGACCCAAACTCTTCCACGGCATGCATTTTTAATTTCTCTTTGATATTTGGGCTGATTGGGACCTGATGAATGTAAAAACAAAGAATTACCAGATTTGTTTTTTACCTGATTTTTGTTTCTAAGAAAAATGAGAGCCACATATGAGGACATTCGTTTAACATCTTGATAGAACAGTAGCGTGGGCAGCACGGTGGTTAGCACTGTTGCTGCACAGCAAGAAGGTCCTGAGTTCAATTCCACCATCAGGCCGGGGTCTTTCTGTGTGGAGTTTGCATGTTCTCCCCGTGTTTGCGTGGGTTCCCTCCGGGTACTCCGGCTTCCTCCCACCGTC